TATTTAAAATAAAATTAACATGTACATATCTAAATATCAGAAAAAATTATTCAATTAACCTATTTATTGTATATAACATTATGAACTCACTTTATACTTAAAAACAGTTGAACAATGAACAAACCAAACAAGAATTAATATCAATGTGTCTTGCACACTTCAAAAATTTATGTTCCTCATTTTTGCATTCACTGTTCTAAGCCATCAGGTTGTTTTCATTCTTATAATAAGATTTAATTTAATTTGTGAATGGTTATATTTTTTATCTGAATCTTGCTCTTTTCTTTGATGGCTATGGATAACCTATAATCTATGGCTATCTTGGATATTATTGGAATATTAATAAATTGCTGTATAAATACTGAAATAAATGATTGTTTTTAAAAACAAACAGAACTTACTAATTTGAACTATACAAAATTTTATAGATTGTCATTTAAATAAATTTGTTACGAGTTTAAACTAGTTTGTTTAGTGATTCAATTTGTTAATTATGTAATATGCTTTGTTCCATAATTCTCATTAAGTCCAATAACCAGGAATGATCATGATTTGAATTCAAAGCTATTGAAGAATGAATTCTGCTGTAAATCTTCTTCAGATCTAACTTTAATTTTTTCTTTCATTTTCTTAAATATTTTAATTATATTGTGAACATTTTAGTGTTAAAGAGAATTATTATTATGCATATTAATTTTAAAAATATACTGTTACACTAAAGAATATGTATCTTTATAAGCATGTAATTTGAACAAAATTCTGATATTTAAAACTAAATTCCATAATTTAAAAGTCATATATATTAAAAATCTTTTAAACATTTTCTTAATTTTAAACATTTTCATAGGAATAATTATCTGTATTGTGATACTAATGATTGAAGTAATAAAATTAATAATGATAATTATATAGTTAATACTTTTAGAATTAAATTTAAATACAATAAATAAATTACTATTTTAGAGAATGGTCTAAAATTGCAATTTAATTAGGCCTTTTCACTTGTTTAAATAGATTTGTTCATTAAAATAAATATTTATAGTTCAAAGTTAAACAATATGAATATATTATGAACAAGTCATGACATATTCAGAATGTTTAATTTTAAACCTTTATATTCTTATTAATGCATCTACTTACTTATACTACTAAAAAAATAATTTATAAAAGTGAAATAATTTTATTTTATGTATTTTATTCTTTATTCTATTTAAATTCAGCTAAATATTGGAAAATGAACTCAAATTTTCATTTTATTTAGTGTTTTATTTATTATTTAAAAATTTAATACAAGATGAAATATAATGTAACAAAATTATTTTATTAAGTGATAAAAATAACTCTCTAATTAAAGCATTGAAAAAAGTTGTTAGGATGAAGATATTCTCTCCATCCTAACAACTTTTTCAACTTTTTAATATTCTACTTGTTATAAAATTAAAGGATAACTACAAGTTAACAAGTTATCATTTAAACTTTCATATGACTGAAAAGATTATAAATATCAGGAAATTTATAGAACAAATTATGAAAAGATGTGTAATACAGTAGTTATAAATTTTAATCATCTTAATAAAATGGCAAAATAATTTAAGAAATATTTTCTTAAAAGAACAATTTTATTATTTTCTATTATATTCATTGTTAAAATATATTTTTTATTATTCAAATATATATTTTGTGGTTAAATTTTTCATTTCCTCCATTAACTGTGGATTAAATTTTTAAGTTGGTATCCCTGACCTAAGTGTTTTCATGGTCATTAGTTAGATCTTGTTTCTAAGAAAGCAGTTCATTTGTTTCAAGTACATGTAGTTGCATAATTTTTAACAAGTCATCTTTGTACAAAAAGAACTTTGTTTATACTTTCTATTAAATAAATTTCATAATGATGCTGACTTTTAAAAGTATAGATTAAGTGTTGGCTGATTTTTACTCGTTTTTCAAAAAAATTTAGTTCCTTAAAATTAAATATAGAATTGAAAACACATCTTTAAGTTTGTATTTACTAATAAACGTAAACTTGTAATACAGTAGAACCTCGAAAACTCAGCTCTCGATAACTCGGCCACACCCTGGCAGGGCAAAAAAATCCTTAGTTAATTAATTTTCATGATAAAGACAGCATTATGCCTCATAAAGTATTTTTCTGAAGTCTGTCTTATCAGGTAAATTACTGTACACAGTGTATTCATTAATTTTCATTTTCATGTAGTAAAGGCTCTATGCCTTCATAAAGGACGTACTTTTCCTTTGTTTAAGGGTATTTTGGCAGTTTATTCTCTGTTGTATTCTCAAGTAAACAATACATACAAGTACAGTACAGTATTTTCTGAGGAAACACTCGTACTTATTTTTTTTAACCACATTCCCGATAACCCGGCATTTTCACAAACTCGGCCACCCTTCGGTCCACATTAGGCCGAGTTTTCGAGGTTCTACTGTATATAAAAATTTACTGGAAACTAGATATTTGATTACTTTGTAGATATTGAACATACAGAACTTTCCTTTAATATGATAATGCTCTTTTACTCTAATAGTAATTTTAATACAAGTTGTTTGTTCATTAGTAACTCTACTAAAAAAAAATTTTTTTGAAAAATGTACTACCACTACCAAGCCCAAATTTAAGATAAAATCTGACATTAAATATTTGATAATCATCAGGCTTTCTTTAATCCAATTTATTTAATACATAAATCAATGGTTAGTTTGTTTAATAAAATCATGTTTTAAATGTTTGGAAACTTTAAAACTTTCTGAAATTATAAACTTTTTAATCATCATTAAAATTCACAAAACTTGGCACTAGGTTGGTAAATAAATAAAGTACCTTTGTTCAGATTGCAAATAAATTTTTTAAAACAAACATCTTTGGCCAAATAACCAACTATCATCAACTTTCATCAGTTCAATTAACATATTAGAATGATATAAATGTTCTATTCCTNAACCCTCTAAAACGAACAAAAAGTGTTACCAAATTAGAGAGGAAACGATCCACTATGGATGGAGATAGGTTTGTTTTTATTATATAATGTTTCTACAGTTGTATTAAGTATAAAAATATATATGCTGTTAAAAAAATCATAATTTTTATTACAGTGTTCCACCGTCTAGACTAAGGACATCAAGATCCCATGAATCATTATTACAATCTAGTCCAGGATCTCTTGCAACCCTAGATTTATCCCAGGGAGATGTTCAAGTTACAGCATTACATAGTAGTTTATTAAGACAAGATCATTGTTTTCAACTTACCTCCAATGGAGGTACTAGATATTATACTTGCAGAACTGCAGAGGAACGGGATAAATGGGTTCATAGGTAAATTATTACTTACAATTAAAATATATACTAAATGATTGCAAAATTTTAAAATTACTAGAAACTTTATAATTTGAAAAGAAATTATGCAAAGAAACAAAGAATTACTATTTTTAAAACTTAAACCTGAATATTCATTTGCAATAAAAATTAATGTAACAAATAGTTGTTATTTTGGAAATCAGTGTATTTGAAAATTACCCACAAACAAAATTAAAGTTTTTACTTTAAAAAATTCTGAATATTAATAATTAAGTGTTATTAGCATTAGATGGTAAATATTTTATATTTTTATTATGTTGTAAATATTAATATTTTGATATTAATTTAGTAACAACATATGCCATATGATAAAAATTATATTCTGTGTAAACAAAATGTCAAGTAATCATAACAATTATACAACAAGTCTTTGCTTAAAGTTATTGATAGATTCTTGGAAACTGCAATGTTAAGAGTGACAATATATAATAAAATCAGTTCTACTATAAGCTAAATCATATAAACAAGATACAATACTAATTGGATTGTATTTAAATGCTGATGGTTTCATTTTCTACATCATAGAATCAGTTTTACTGTTTATAAAGAAAAGTCAACAATGGTAATTGTAAATAATTACAGATATATATCTTTCTTCAATGACATTATTACAAAGTTAAGTGAGGAGTTGCTATATATCAGATAATGTTTAATGTTATAAAGTTAATGTGGTTGATTCTTGATTTTGTGGATCTCCATAAATGAGTTTTGAAAACAATAGATTAAATTGCTTGTTCCAAGGAGTCTGTCATAAGAAATCAAAATATTTGAGAATATGTACTGTAGTTGTTAATGTGTGAAGTCCATTGAACAGTGTGTCAGTAGTTGTAATTCATGCCCTTGTTTGGAAATGTGATGTTTGTCTCTCATATTTATCACAATATAGGTCATTTGTATCTCTTATCTCTTACAAAGTTCATTTTGTAGTTAACCATGATATCTTTGAATATAATAGATATTGGTCTACTTAACACCAATTGTTTTCATTTATTAATTTTTTACATCACGAGTCAATAATAATCCCAAAATATATATAATTAAAGAACATTCTATATTGTGGTAATAATTGATCAGAACAATGTTTTTATTAAAAAAACTTAAGATAATTTTCTCTAATAAAGTTTGAATCAGTATGAACTACTATAAAATATGTATTTTTTTATTAATTGATTTTTATTTTTTATGAACCATATGCGTTTTTTTTTTCTGGCAAAGTATTAATATGTACAGTACATAATTTATAAATTAGAATTATAGAATGTCAACAAATATTACTATATCTGAATGAATAATATATGAAACTTTTCAGTTAATTTTGCTTACTAATAATAATAAATCATTGAAAAAAACTATTTCATATATCATGCACTATAATGTAATTCATTCAAATTAAAAAACCAATTATTATATTATTTACATGACTTTTCACTAATTTCTCAAAAATCATCTTAAAAGTATTACATAAAAACTTATTTTAAAATCCTTTAGGATTGCAATTATAAAGATTCTAAAATTTTAAAGACTAATATTTTTATGTTAAAATATTATTTTAAAAACCTTAATTTTGAATAAAGTTTTAATAGTGTTTTTACTATGAAATTATTAATCATTGTTATTTTGATATATAGAAACCTCTTATGAGAAAGCATGTTCAGATCGTAGAGGCAGTGCTCCAACTACTCCTATTCTTGGTCCCAGAAATATGGATACAACACCTTCAAGAATAGTGGTAAGTTTGTATTTTTGAAGAGATATATATCATATCTATAAATGATTTAATGCCAAGTTGATTAATGCAACTATAATACTAATAGGTTATTACTACTTTTATTATTTCAATTAAACTAATAATTCTCTTATGGTTAATTTATTATCTTCCATGAAAAATAACATTGTTCCATTATTTAAAAATTTAATCATTGTGTTTGTATATGTACAAATTACATTTTAAAAAATAATTGATTTTAAATTTTAAATGAAAATACTATTTTATATTTTGTAGTAACAATTCTGTAAATTTATTTTTATTTTAATAGAATTTCTTCTCAAAGCGTTCCTTCAAAACCAACCCTCTAAAACGAACAAAAAGTGTTACCAAATTAGAGAGGAAACGATCCACTATGGATGGAGATAGGTTTGTTTTTATTATATAATGTTTCTACAGTTGTATTAAGTATAAAAATATATATGCTGTTAAAAAAATCATAATTTTTATTACAGTGTTCCACCGTCTAGACTAAGGACATCAAGATCCCATGAATCATTATTACAATCTAGTCCAGGATCTCTTGCAACCCTAGATTTATCCCAGGGAGATGTTCAAGTTACAGCATTACATAGTAGTTTATTAAGACAAGATCATTGTTTTCAACTTACCTCCAATGGAGGTACTAGATATTATACTTGCAGAACTGCAGAGGAACGGGATAAATGGGTTCATAGGTAAATTATTACTTACAATTAAAATATATACTAAATGATTGCAAAATTTTAAAATTACTAGAAACTTTATAATTTGAAAAGAAATTATGCAAAGAAACAAAGAATTACTATTTTTAAAACTTAAACCTGAATATTCATTTGCAATAAAAATTAATGTAATTTTGTATCACTATAGATGTAATGAAAATGGTTACAGCAGTGACAGATTCTGTACCATATGAAATTGTTTGGATGGAATTGTTGCCATTCTTCTTTTGAACTTTAGTTTTTTCAAGTTTATACAGTTTCATGGATTATTTATGGTGTGGTGTTGTTTTTAAATAATCCAAAATCAAAACTTGAGAAGCAAGATTTGATGATTAGAAGTCAAAGATTCATAATTGTCTGGATAATTATGTCATGAAAAAAGATAGAGAAGAAGATTCTTAATAAATGCTAAAATAATATAAAATAAAAGTTACTTTTATGAAGATTACTTCAGTTAAGACACAGCATTTTTTAGAAATAAATATGCACAGTAATGAGCATATTGTATATCTTGTGGCTGTTTTTTTTTATTTTATGTCTATTTTGTACTCAAGAAGTCAAATTATAATAATTAGCATATATTCAACTTAGTTTATCATTTGAACAGAATATTGACTAAACCATTTAAGGTGAAATGTATTTTATTTGATTAAGATATACGTAACATTGTAATGAGAATATCTTAAGATTACTTGCAAAGATGGTCAAAATGCTAATATGGCGACAATAAAATCAAGTGTGTTACTATATTATTGAAATAATTTGAATATTAAATTACTATTTTAGTTATAGATATACAATCATTTATTGCAATTTCAAATAGAAAGGACATTTTTTAAAATCAAATTGCAACATTCCTATTTCCAAATTTTTTCTGATAATGAATCATTATGAAAAATCATGTATCTATTTTTGAATATTATCTAATATTAAATAAGTCAATATTTAAAAAATTAAATATAATAGGTTATGGTTATTCAGGATTCTATTTAACTGAGGTTCTGCATTATCCATAGCAAATTGTGAAATAATACTTTGTTTCACAAATCATGACCAAGAGATACATGGTACTCAAAAAAGAACAATCTCATTTTGAGTATAATGCATCTCCTGGGCAAGATTTTAAAAAAGCAAGTTTTAAAAAGAAGTCAGTGACTTCTTTTTAAAACTTGCTTTTTTAAAATCTGAAAAAGATTAAGAAAATTTTCATTGTAATCATAGATTTACATTGGCTTTAATAGATATAGTTGTGAATAAAATTAAAAGTGTTTTATTGTGTAATTTAAAATTTTTTACTATAAATCTAACTTTAAAAAGTATATTATACATATTAAGGCATCCAAATTCAATTTATTAATTAATTTACCAAACATTCTGTGTTATCCAAATTTTTGATTAACAAGACACACTTGGTCCATATTGTCTTGAATAATCTGGACTACCCTACTGATTTTTCTTTTTTATTGTATTTTCTGTAAAAGAAATAACAGTGAATACATTTGATTCATAAAATATTCTAATAAGAATGCCTAAAAATCAAAAATAATTTGATAGTTATAGTTATATATCAATTGATATTTTGTCATTATCTCTGAGTGAAATTAATTTCATTTCTTGAAGTGTAACTGTTATTTTTTGTAATGTTTTTACATTGAAATAGATATTTCTCAGTAATTTTGAGACTTTTTATTATATAATCCTACCTGAACTTGATTTTTCTTATTTCATTCTGCCAATTTTTGTAATTGTAAGAAGTACTTCTTGTTTTTTACTTCATTTTCTTATATGAAGCAGGATTGGAAAAACCTTTTGGAGGTTAATAGAAGGAAATCTTAACAAATTTCTATTTTTATTCATTTACTGAAGATTTTATGAGACTATACTTTACCATTAATTTTAGTATCTTGTTTGGTTGTAACATTTTTTCTTATCCCAAAAACTTTTTTCCTGCTATTCCTTTGGAGTGATATTTCATGTTTTCTTTAAATTAAAAAAATGTTGTAAGCAAATAATTCTTGATCATTTTTTGCTAGCAACAATTAAAGCAATATGGCTCCTAATATTTATTTATCAGAATTGTTTGTTTATTTTATTCTATTATTTTCACATATTATGCTATACATATATATCTTATTATTCAAATATTTTATTTTAAATTGATTATTTAAAATATCTGTAAAATTAGTAATTCCTGAAATAAAATTATTGTTTTAAAGCTTTAGAATTTTTTATTAAATTTTATATCAGAAAACTTCACATTTCTTTTAATTCTAATTCTTTTTTTAATCCAGTTATTGTTATATATGTTATGTTTAAAAATTATAGTCTCAGGAGAACTATTCATCCAAATCAAGATAATGTTAGAAGAACAGAAAATTCCTTGAAAATTTGGATACTTGAAGCTAAAGGCGTGTCTGGTAAAAAAAGGTAAGTTTCACTTACTTTTAATTTAATATTTATTATTAATAATAATAATAATAATGGGACAAACATTTATATTTAGGTACTTTTGTGAATTGTATCTGGATAAAGTATTATATGCTCGTACCTCTTCAAAATTAAAGAGTGATATGTGTTTTTGGGGAGAAAATTTTGAATTCAAGTAAGTTTTATATTTGTAAACTTTCAAATGAATATTAAGAAAAATATATACATTAAGGTATGTAAACAAAAACATCTGCTCAAAAAAAATCAAATTTTTTTATTTTTACAATATGATTATTCGGGAATACAAAATTAACAAAATGAATTTCTTCTCTCTAAATTATGGAATCTGGTGCTTGGAATCTTGCAATCAGCTGCTTTTTTAATTTCAGCCTTGATACCAGCCATCACAGTTCAAAAAGGCTCTGAATTAAATTGGGAGATTGGACTTGAAGCAGAACTGAAACAACACATCAAGTCCAGTCTGTCCTTCATTTTTGGCAAACCACCCATTCTTGCAATAGTATGTTGTTACCAGTGCAGTTGCTTCTATAAAAGATACAGTTCATTGTCCATAGCAATGTTTAATCCATTTGAAGCTTTGAAATTGCTCTTTTGCATTTTTTGCAGTGTCTTTTGAATTTTTATTTTGGGACTGACTTTCACTTCTGAAGGACATTTTGCTTGATTAGTATGCTTTTAACATACTGATGGGTTATTTCAAACTTTCTTTCAAGTTGTTTTTGTGACTGTCCAACTTTTCTGATCACCTCTCTTTCCAATGACTTTCTTTTGTTACCTGTCATTTTAATTCTCTTTCACCCACTCCCTGAACATCTAGCAACAGTCTTACCACTTTCCAGTCTTTCTATGATGGTGTAAACTGTCTCTTTTGCCATCCCCATATTTACAAAATGCTTACTGTGAAGCTTCTTCTACTTTCCTTATATTTGTAAAATTTGCCAACTACAGTTCTTTGTTCCTCATATAGCTGCTCCATTTGTTTACATTTGGAATATTTTTGCCCTTCACAACACAAATTTAAATCTACAGAGTTTGAGGAACAATCTGCACTAGTACATTCTCAAATTTATTTTTTAGAAAAAAAGTACCAAATAGATTGCCAAAATTGTGCAGATTTTTAATTTCCATACCTATATTATTTCCATATTGGTATTTTATTGTTTTACAAATAAATTTTATTTTAATTTTAGATTTAAATAGTAAACATCTAAAACAAAATTGTACATGTTTATTTTCTTTGCTTATTGTATATTTATTTATCAGAATTCTAAAGTATAAAATTAATAATTGTACAGAAAGGTGAAAGGTTATTTTTCACAATTCTTTTTTGCATAATTTGTAATACAAAAATTACAACTTTTATTTTACTTTTTATATTTAAATATCNTTAATTTCAGCCTTGATACCAGCCATCACAGTTCAAAAAGGCTCTGAATTAAATTGGGAGATTGGACTTGAAGCAGAACTGAAACAACACATCAAGTCCAGTCTGTCCTTCATTTTTGGCAAACCACCCATTCTTGCAATAGTATGTTGTTACCAGTGCAGTTGCTTCTATAAAAGATACAGTTCATTGTCCATAGCAATGTTTAATCCATTTGAAGCTTTGAAATTGCTCTTTTGCATTTTTTGCAGTGTCTTTTGAATTTTTATTTTGGGACTGACTTTCACTTCTGAAGGACATTTTGCTTGATTAGTATGCTTTTAACATACTGATGGGTTATTTCAAACTTTCTTTCAAGTTGTTTTTGTGACTGTCCAACTTTTCTGATCACCTCTCTTTCCAATGACTTTCTTTTGTTACCTGTCATTTTAATTCTCTTTCACCCACTCCCTGAACATCTAGCAACAGTCTTACCACTTTCCAGTCTTTCTATGATGGTGTAAACTGTCTCTTTTGCCATCCCCATATTTACAAAATGCTTACTGTGAAGCTTCTTCTACTTTCCTTATATTTGTAAAATTTGCCAACTACAGTTCTTTGTTCCTCATATAGCTGCTCCATTTGTTTACATTTGGAATATTTTTGCCCTTCACAACACAAATTTAAATCTACAGAGTTTGAGGAACAATCTGCACTAGTACATTCTCAAATTTATTTTTTAGAAAAAAAGTACCAAATAGATTGCCAAAATTGTGCAGATTTTTAATTTCCATACCTATATTATTTCCATATTGGTATTTTATTGTTTTACAAATAAATTTTATTTTAATTTTAGATTTAAATAGTAAACATCTAAAACAAAATTGTACATGTTTATTTTCTTTGCTTATTGTATATTTATTTATCAGAATTCTAAAGTATAAAATTAATAATTGTACAGAAAGGTGAAAGGTTATTTTTCACAATTCTTTTTTGCATAATTTGTAATACAAAAATTACAACTTTTATTTTACTTTTTATATTTAAATATCAGTATGCCAATTGTATTTTTCATTTTTCAATAATTTATAAAAAAAAAAATAATACAGTAAACTCCCGATTATCCAGGCTAATGTGGGGCAAGGTGGCATGGATAATCCAGAAACACGGATAATCCAAACTATAATTATTTATTTCTAAAATACAACATGTAGATTTGATGTAGATTCACCTTTTTATCAAATTTTTCAATTAATGTTAGTTTTTGTTTTATAGTAAGTATGACTTTCTTTTGATTATTAGGCATTTTAAGTATACTTATCTGAAAGTTTAAAAAAAAAAAACATCTTATTTTACGTAATTTTACACTAAAAGTATTTGTGGGAGAATTATATCAAATCTTAAATTGTAATACATATTATAACATGCAACTAAACAAAACTTTGTATAAATGTATCACTATCGTTTTCTCCTCTGAAAAGAAACGTCTGACACGATAGAAGCAGCTTAACTAAAACCAGTCCAGCTGACTTCAGATACCCCATCCACCTGCTTCAAACATCTAAATATGAACACACTTGTAGGATGCATAAGCATGAAAGAGAGCAACTATTTAAAAAATACATACACATATAATTATTTTTTTTAAATTAAATTCATGCACAAATAATCTGCAAACTGAATAATCCCCACATGGATAATCGGGAGTTTACTGTACTATTTATTTATAATAGGAATTTTTTCAGATGTTATAATTTATAATTAAATATTCAAATATATTTTAATTTTTCATAAAATAATCAAAATTAGTATTTAAAAACCATTGAAAAAAATTCAAAAACTAATTAAATTTAATAATCTTATCTGAAATAGATAAATAAAAATAAAAAATAAAATTATTCTTTCAGGGAATATCAAATTATTTATATTGTTTGATTAATTAGAAATTATTTTGAATTTATCCATGAAAATTATAATTTATAGTAGTACTGGTGGTATAGGTCTAACAACAATTTTAGTTTGTACTACTATTTAGCATTAAAAATAAGTACAAAATACATAGAAATAGATAATTGTCCTAAACAAAAACTTTTGAATAGAAATAATTTATTCAAAACATTTTAAATTTAAATTACTATAGAATTTATTAAAGATAATTTGAAATTATCCAGTGGAAAATTTCTGAATGGAAGTAATGACAAAATTTTTAACTTAAAAAATTTTACAGATTAAGAAACAAGTGAAAGTTGTGTGCAGTGTATTGTAAGCAGCTTATTAAGAATAAGAAACATAATATTGGAAATATAAAAATTTTTCTGAATAAAACTAATTGATTTCATTCTTTTAAATGAGATAAATTGTATAATATTTACTATTAATTGCTGTATGGCATCACAAAACCTTCAGTACTTGTATAGACCTGTATGTTAAATACAGTAAAAATATTTTCTAGCATTTAATTAATTCAATTCTTATCACTATTTTTCAATCTCTTCATAATGTTATCATATGCTTCATTTAGTGAAAGGTATTTTTTTCTTGTTATATTTGAAATTCATTCACTTATTATTTTCTTGAAAAAGTATTTTTATTTTTTCATATAAATAAAATTGATAGATTTTTGCATTACTTTTTTATTTAACTTAACAAATATCACTTTTTAAAATATTTTAGCAATCTGCCAAAAGTCAATACAATAACAGTCACTTTGTATAGAGAAGCTGATAAGAAGAAAAGACGTGACAAAAATTTTTTAATAGGTTGGTTAAAATTTTATAAATTGATTTATTGTCAAATTTCATTAAAATTAATTCTTATTTAATCAATTTTTAACACTAACGATCTTGTATATCACTGTTTTTCAGTTTTTTTGTCTACGTGACCCCAATCATACAGATACATACATTTTTAATAAGTTATTAAAAATTCTTTAGCAATCCTTTTAAAATTGGTTTCAGTCCTTATTTTGAGAATAACTGATACATACATTTAATTACAAAAGCAGTTGCATAGATTGTTATATATAGTATATTGGAAATTTTAACTTTCTTCTTTCATATATTTTTAATATTTCCAAATGTTAGAAGTATATTATTATTATTATGTTGGATTTAATGGGTTATACTCGGTTGACACCAGTGGCTGTTTACTATGCCGGACCAGACTCAAGGCATAGCAACCAAACAAAAACTAAAATTAAATAAGTGTGTCAGTGTCTGTATTCAGAAATTTCCTAACAATATGGCATGTATTCAATATAGTGGCCTTCTGTAGTGTGATGTATGTATTTCTATTCAATTGTAATGTTCCCAGGCTTTTGTGTAGTGTGTGTGGTATCACACCTGTACAGGAGAGAATGACAGGTACAATAAGCACCCTTTCCATCCTCCACAGATGCCTTATTTCCTGGGC